GCTAGAGTCTAACCTCTGAACTTGAGATCTCTCAAGATCTCCCCAGTTAATACGGGTAATCCGAGGCAGAAGGCCTTCAATGCCGAGTGCTGCCTGAATTGAGACACAAATTGCCTTACTTTGCCTTTAAGCGCAGGCGAATGCAACTCACAAATGATGCACCAGCAGCGTATGTGTGTATGTATAATTAAAATTAAGGCTACTTGACTTTTTCAATGACTTCCAGTGTAATAATAAATCAGAGGCAGGCGGAGAACAGGTAAACACAGTGTAAGGCAACATGCAACAAGGGTTTCGCGGGGAGTAGAAGGGCTCTGAGCGAAATCAGCGACCGAAAAGCTTGCGACTCCGATACCATCCCAGCAGCGATCGATGTTTGCCAAGTGGAAAAGATCTCGGCAAGAGTGTGTGTGTGTATGGATGTTGTGGCACCACTATATGGCATAAAGAAATCGCGACACACAGACACAGTTTCGCCGATGCTACTATATATACGCTGTATGCTGAAGTACGTGCTAAAAAGACTTGGAGCTCTCAAAGCAAAAGCAAAACAAACCGACCAAAAAAAAAAAAAACGAAAATGAAAACGAAACACGAATTGTGCGATTCAAGTACGTACAAATTTCATGTGAGCTTACACATCTAGTACCTAGTCCGGCGGTCTTTGAACCTCCGAGCTGCCCACTCTGAGACAAAGACTTAATAAATCCAATTTAGAGACTGCGGCGGACAGGACCAATTAGCCCAGCGATGCCACTTTCTTAAGCGCACAACAACCAGTGATTATCTTTTAATATCCCCACAGATATCGAGTATACATACACTGGTTCTGATATAATGCCAATTACAAAATCATTACGCTTAGCTTGGCTTGGCTCGAAGTGAGGTAACGCTGCTTAACCTATGACAATGAAACAAGCCAGCAATTAAGCTGGAAAAAAAAAACTTATAAAAAAGGCGTAATTAAAATAATAATATTTAGCAGTCATACGCACCATACATGACGCTTGCCGAAAGAAGACAAAAGCCGTTAAAAAAGCCACAAAAAATATTTAAAAAAATTAAATTTTTGTACTTCAGACCAACGAACGTGCAATCAAATTTAAGCCAAGCCAAGTGCATGCAGCAAATGCGATAAAACCCAACAGAGGGTGATCCGATAAGGTCTGTCAAGTGGTGACCTCACACCATAATCTTGCACATCTCGGAGTTACACAGAAACCCAGAGCTACAAGCAGGCATGTAATGGATGGGACCACCTCGGATCTCTTGGGATATGGATACGCTCTGCGATAAAGCTCCGATAAACAGACGACAAGACCCAGTCTAGGCCTTCGTTACCATCTTGTGTGTGTGAATAATGTATGTATTTTGAGATTTGGTTTGCGAAATTTCTGCTCGCATCATAAAAAAGTGCTTGGTTAATATTTTTTAGATGACTAACCCGCGCTGTCTGGCTGGTTTCTTCAATGCCTCGCGTCTATATATCCCTCTGTTGTGGGCCAATTGCCGACTCAAGTGCCCCCGCCTTGCGACGTAAACAAAGTAGAAATGGCGAAAAAAAACCCAAATTGATTTTGATTTCATCTTAGGGTCATATAATGCTATGTGTTATGTTTTCTGAAGTGACGCATTAAAAACAGGATTAGGCTTTAAAATCTGTAGTTTGAAGTTTTTGCTAATTTCACAAGAGGAATTTTTTCAAGCCGTTTTGCAAGTTTTAATTGATTGGACAAGAAAATGTATACAAAGCGGAATGATTGGGCACTTTTTGGGGGTTTGTTTACTGACATATAGATTTTTATAAAGCTTATAAACTTGAGACACTTCGGTATATCACATATAATCAAGACAATTGCTGTAATCTCAGGCAAATGTGACCTTTTAATTACACAAAACAGTACTTGGACTTAATTAACTGTGTTTTAATTACAAAAAAAAACTAAATACTTAAAATCAAAGTCAAATTTTTGTAAACATAATTTAAAGTATTTAGAAATCTTAAACTTTTTTATGTAAAAATTAATTCTCTAGTAAAATCCACAAATCTTTACCTAAAAATTAGATATGGTTCTTTATTTCTGCTTAAAGCAATTTAATACGCTCATAAGGGCAGTTAACCCTTTGCCAACTGGCCTTAACCTTTACTCCTCGAAATTTTTATTGCCCAGTTTTTTGTCTTATTGAAATGTAAGGGGCCATTGCCCGCATCTCAACGAAAAATGGAAACTAATGTCATTGGCTGGAGGCAGAGGTTTCACACTTTCCCGACAACACCCAAGGAGTCCCGTGCTGGAGCTGATTGCCACAGAGTGTCTATAAGAAATGTGGCAACAATCACGGCTATGGCGCCAAACAGTCAATCTCTCTTTCTATTGATTTGGCAAGATTTCGGCCAGGCCGTATCTTTTGCGTAAGTGACCCAATTTTGTGTGTGAGTATTTGGGGGAATGGAGCTGGGAATAAATGCAGTTAGGTGTATGTGTGTATTACTGTTTACTCACCTTTCTCGTGCGAATCAGCTTGGCCAGGTCGACGGCGGGAATCTCGAGCAGGTGGCTACGGATGGGCGGCAGCTTGCGCCGCATCACCTTGATGTTGGTGTAGCGGCTGTAGGGGACAACGAACCAGCTGAAGACGATCATGGCCGAGCGCAGGAAGCGGCGCATGATGTACCCCAGGATCCTGGAACAGAGTAGCACAGCAATTTTGACGGTTTTCGGTTGACGCGGGCGGGAAGGAAACTATCGAAATATATCTGCGTATCGACCAGATACGCCCCACAACACCACACACACGGCACTAAGCGACGACGGTAGACACTGCACTCAGCACACAGCAGCCAACAGGTTGCCAGGATTGTGCAATCTGCAATTCGCAGTCCGCAGTCAGCAGTTCGCAATCCGCAGCAGCAGCAGCAGCAGCGGCGACTGCAGCGACTTTTCGCTTGCACAATTCAGCAATGGAGCAGCACGGAGCTCGGCTCGGCCTGCGGCGAGATGCTTTTGGTCAGAGATTGTTGGCTAATAGTCGAGGGGGGCAGTAGCAGTAGCAATGGCTTTCTTGGCTGCATTGGCCACCACCGGACGACGGCTAATAGAGGGCAGGCGTGTCTGCGGCGGGATGGACGACGACGACGGGCACTCGCGGAGAACTTGGGTTGGGGCGCTGCCGACGCATGCGCAGCCTGTGGCCGGCTTTCATTTTGTTGCACTCCACAAGCTTAAGCCTTATCACACACGCTCACCGAGTGCCTGAGTTTGGGATCGCAATCGGTTTCGAATCGGTGGCTCTACTGTCTCTGTATTCGTATCTGTATCTGGCGGATCTGCACGAGGCGAACCGACGCGAACGAGTCGAGCTGAGTAAATAAACGCTCGAACAGCTTGGCACAGAGTATTTAAAGCACTGCTCTCTCTCCTCGAAGCTCACTTCGAAGCTTCGCTCTTTCTCTTTTGCATGGAGTGGCTCTCTTAAGCCGCTGCTTTAAGCTGTGATTCCCAGAGTTGGCCCTAAGGAAATGGATCAAGTGCGTCACAGACCGAGCAACAATTAATAAGCCTGAACTCTTGATCTCCCCATAATTGCAATTAAAATTGCATCTAGATGTGATTGTAGAATATGACAAGCGTCTTGTTTACAACCGTTAACAAAGGGATGAGGACCTCCGGGCATTAATTACACAAATCGGTGAACGTCAATGGGTTATGGGTTCACATCGGGCACTAGCAATTCCGAATGTATGCTAACTCGTGTTCCAGCTTAGCCTGAGATCATCCATCGCCGCCCCAAACTGCAGCGTCATTCGGAAAACAAACATTGACTCGCGAATGCCCAACACGAGGCGGGGTTTCCGGGGGAAAGCCCAGAGCTTGAAAAACATTTACAAGGAACTTAGTAGAACCTTGAACCCAATTTAATGACTTGGTAACAGGTTAGTTAACATACACACAGAGAATGAAACGGAGTCAAGGAACAGCTTACATAAAGTTTTTACTTTATGTTCTTTCATAATAAGGGCAGCTGTAAGAGACTTAATTCCTGAATTATATACAGCTTTCTGTCAAACCCTAAGACTCTGGAGAAGTGTTTACATTGTCCTAGTTAATATCTCTAGTCTTGGCAGCCGATTTTGCTTTGATTTAGTCAAAGTGTTCTTTGCTGAAGAACAAAGGAAAATGAAAAGGTATTTGAGCTAAGGTGACTGAAGGTGTTGAAAATATTTTCAAGTCTAATAATATGTCAAGGAGATCCTTTTCCTATAGGAATCCTTTAAAAAATCTGTTATTAATATTATTATTTTAAAACTTTTTTACTTTTCCTATTAACTACTTATTACAGCCTCAAATCCTCACATAGTTACCTAATTTAAAATAGTAAAAAGTACACTTTTAAAATATAAATATCATTAAACCCTCAATAAAACAAATATCCCCGTTAATTTGAATAAATTCAATTTTCTCTGCATTCATCTTAATTGAGGAATCAGTTGCTAGTTAGTACAGATCCCTCAATTAAAATCACTAATGTTGGCGTTTAGAGAACATGGCAAGTTGCTATGGCATGATCACTGATCCGTCTGACACTTATAGTGAGCATTCAGGCGTTGGTTATCCAGTTTCGACACAAAAATTGCTTTTTAATTGTGTTTTGCTGGTCATTAGGGTATAATTGCCCCACATTAGGCACCGACTCTCTTAGCTGGTCAGTTTTCCAAGACAAGCGAAATGCGCGTGTTGTTTTGTTAGAATAATAAGCGCCTTTCAGCCGCCTCTTAGCCGGATCGCTTAGGTGGCCAAAACGCCCAGTTCGAGATCACGCAATCCCAGATGTCAGGCTGGGTGATATAATCAGGGCACAGAGAACAAAACAAAGAGGCATGATAATGGCTTTAATGACATAGCATCGCGGATTATTAACCCCAGAGCTTGTTCAGCTGGCGATTCCCCTTACGAATCGGAAAGGATTCGGGGGAAACTCCCCAAGGTGAGTTCAAGAAAAGCGTTTCTGTGTACTATTTTTGTTTATTTTTTTTTGGGAGAGTTGAGACTTGTTTTATCGCCAAGTTAAAAGATAGTCAAAAGCTTCCACTCTTCTGTAAGAGTCTTTAAGAGAGCCGCCTAAGAGATAAGACCGTAAGCTTCGAACTACTTTTGGATGGAGGGCCATTGTCAGTGACGATAAAAGTGCCCGCGGATCAAGTTGGGTCGCAAAACTTTCCACACCCCGGCAGCGCCACGCATAGATAGTCCGCCAGAGATAAGTTGACCCCATCTGGCAGAACAACAACAATAACACCAAGCGAGAACCACTGAGCACCATGTTGTCACAGCGTTTGCGGCTTGGCCGGGGTTTGGTTAATTACGGAGCTAGCGGCCGCCAGAGCTTGAGAAACTTTGCAGCCGCTGCTGGCGATGATAACAACAACAACAACAACAACAACAAAAGCAGCAATGATAGCGTCGACGAACGTCACCCGCTGCAGGGTATCCGGATTTTGGACCTCACGCGCATTATCGCCGGCCCCTATTGCACCATGGTGCTGGCGGATCTTGGGGCGGAGGTCATCAAGGTGGAGCGGCCTCACTATGGCGACGAGGCCCGCAAGTGGGGTCCACCCTTTCTGGAGCATAGCCAGGATGCAGCCTACTTTCTGGCGCCCAATCGCAACAAGCGGAGCGTTTGCATCGACCTGAAGCGAGGCACGAAAATGCTTCATAAGCTGGCCGAGATGAGCGATGTGCTGGTGGAGAACTATGTACCCGGCACTTTGGATCGTTACGGCTTGGGCTACGAGCAGCTGCGTAAGGTAAATCCCAAGTTGATTTATTGCTCTCTGACCGGCTATGGCTCTGTGGGGCCGTATGCCAAGCGGCCGGGATACGATGTAATAGCTTCTTCCGTTGGCGGCCTGCTGCACATCACAGGGGAGCGCGATGGACCGCCCAGCAAGGTGGGCGTGGCCGTGACGGACATTTCCACTGGACTGTACGCCCACGGCGCCATCCTGGCAGCTCTCTATCAGCGGACGCGCACACAACGCGGCCAGAAGATTGATGTGGACCTCCTCTCCACCTGCTGCTCGCTGCTCATTAATGTGGGCAGCAATTACTTGAATGCTGGAACCGAAGCTAAGCGATGGGGCACCGCCCACTCCAGCATTGTCCCGTATCAGGCTTTCAAGGCAAAGGATGGGTATCTCACACTCGGCGCCGGAAGCGATGCTCAGTTCAAGGATCTGTGCCGACGCTTGCAGGTGGAACACTTGTCCGAGGATCCGAAATTCAAGACCAACAAGGATCGTGTCCAGAATCGTGAGGAGATTGTTTCGATCTTGGAGAAAATCCTCTCCAAGGACACTGCCCACAACTGGATGAAGGTTTTCGAGGGGGCACCCTTTCCCGTGGGACCCGTAAACAACATTGGTCAGGTGTTCGAGGACGAGCACATCCAGGCTATTGGTCTGGTCAAGACCTTGCCGCACCCGAAAGATGACTTTGTGAAGGTAGTCGGTCCACCAGTCGTTTTTAGCGAAGCTCGCAACGATGCCCGGACAGCTCCACCAATGCGGGGACAGCACACGGATGAAGTGCTGGGGGAACTATTGGGTTACGGCCGGGAGGAGATAGCCAAGCTAAGGGAAGATGACATTATCGAGTGAGTCAGGCAGTGTTCCTTTTATCTACAATGTTTTTAGAGGTAAAGGTAAAATATAAAATGTAATTATGGACAAATCTCAGTTGTTTTTCCTTTGAAAACCTTAGGAAAATCTAATATTATTAATAATAATCATTAAAAATCTTATACGCTTTACCAAATATATAATCTTTGTACTAAGCATATTTGTGTATCTTCATTGTTTAAATGTTTAAGTTGAGATGATTCTATTATTCAGCTAATTGACTGTTAGGTAATACTGTAATTATCTTTTTTAATTCGTTCCTGTTAGGTTTGAAGACTGGGCTGACAAAGGTTATACCTCAAATACTAAGCCTAACTAATTTTATTATTCATTAAAGTGAAATATTTTACAGCAGGTCTAAGGTCTTAGGCCTCAAAAGATTAACCACGGTTAGGTAATAGTTTAAAACAATCTTGAGGTGTTCTGAATCCCATCACAAGAATTGTCACTAAAAAAAAATATTTCAGACACCAGAGATTTTTATATATAGTAGAAGAGATTTTGAAACCCAAGCTTAGGCTACAATCTCTATCGAGATATCTGTGGGGAGAATAGCAAACAATGATGTTTCTGTTCCCACAAAACCCTGAAATCGACATGTGCTGCTGCTGTAAAAGGCTCTCCGCACTGTACATGCCGGTAAGCCGGAGTTATCATCACTCTTCAACTTCACTGATCCTGATTCCAAATCCCATTCCTATTCTGTGCTGGCCCCAGTCCAGCTTCCAGCACATACCCTGGAGACAACGTAGCCGTCGACAAAAGGTGATAATTGCGACCTTCCTCGCCCTGATTCTGTTTGTTATGCTGAACGCGGTGGGCTGGGTGGCGTATCTGTGCGTGTATCGGCATGACGAGAAGTACAGCGTCTCGCAAGATGGACACGAACGCTTGGCTTACCTGAGCAACAGCTCCTCCAGGTGCAGCAGCAACACGGTAAGTATCGATTTAAGCACTGGCCAATGCAAGGATCAGGTGCAGCAACAGAAGGAGAACAAAAAGGACAAGGAGGAGGAAGGAAGGTGGTGAAATAATAAAGGAACTGGCAAAACCAATAACAAAACTCACTTGTAAATGAATCAAAATAAACAGATTTAAATGGAAATCAAATGACACTCTGCTGGTTACTTTGAGGCGCGTCCGAGCGCCGAGAAGGTACAACTAAAACTAAATCCGAACGGAGCGGCGTCCGGCTATTCTTGTCGGTGTTGGCGTCATTGTTGTAGTTGTCACTGCAAGTGCTGCCGAAAAAAATAACAACAACGTCGGCGTCAATAACAGATTGCGGGCCGTGTGTTTGCTTTTGTTGCTGCGGTGTGTGCGCCGTGTTTGTGTGCAAAGTGCATAGACCGCATCCGAATCTCTAGGTGAAGCTCCTCCAGCCAAGTCCCAGTCCCCGCCTCCGCCGCAGGTGTGGATTTCGCACTTAATGGCTAAGAATATAAGGAATATATTAGTTAGAAGGCGCAATGGCTAGTCAATTAACAGTTAGTTACATGGGCGTAGTCAGCAGTGTGATTGGGGAGCTCAGAGAAGCGGTATTAGGATTTAAATAATATTTATTTTTACCAACATTCGGACTTACCTTAATTATAATTTAAAATATTAAGTTGCATATGTTATTAAAAGTGATAAATAGAATCTGTGCTGAAAATTGGTTGCTATCCATTGCCCCTACGCCCATGCTCAAGTACCCCTTATTCTGCCAAAGAAGTGTGACCAGAGCGAGGTTTTTAAATTAGAGTTTTAAATTCCCAAAAACTATTTTATTAAATTTAATTTATTAATTTCAAATAAAAATCCATATTGACCAATAATAGTTAGTTATCATTAAAGGTTTATTATTATGATTTATTTCGCGTAATTTAAGCTTTTCTTATACCTATTCAAAGGTATTTGCCCTCATTTAACGTTTGACTTGAAACCAAATCAACGTAATAGTTAATATACTCTACGAGTATTCCATTTTCCACGGTGTAATTTAACTATTCTGTTCGTCTCACTCTATACTTTGTTATCAAAGCCACCAAACCGCAACGAGGTAATGACAGATCCCTATCTTCCACAGCCAACCGCAGCTGTAAGCCTATACAAAAAAAAATCAAAGTCATCTAAGATTCCCATTATTATTCCCAAAAAGACGTGGACTTTGAACCAGGCTTGGAAAAAGATAAAAACTTGATTCAAACAAGTAGCAGTTGGCACGGCCCTGCCAACTTGGGCAAGCGAAGTAAGACAGTGAGGCAGCATCTTTAATTTTCCCAGTTTGGTCACTCTACCAATGTTTTGATCTGCTGTTAAATAATATTTAAGTTTTACTAATTTATCTTTTTTAAAATGCCCAAGCAGCCCTCGTTCGTGTCGCGCAACCTCGTGGCCATCGTGATGATACCCAGCCTGGTGGGCATCCACCTGGGCTGGAGCTACATGCAGAATAACCGAAAACTGGTCACGGAATCGGAACAGATAGACCTGCCGCCGGTTACAGTACGTACATACTTAGATTCCCAAGCTGGAGGAGATCCTCTAACACCGCATCCTCTTGCAGTTCGCCAAATTTGCGTGGAACAAGCTGACGGGAGCGACAGCGAGTACAAAGGCTAGCGGCAATTCGACGGAATGACGATACACCTTGGGATGAGCTTAAGAAATACAATATATTTATTGCATAGATAAATTAAAACTACATGTAAACGGTATGGTACAATCAACTACTGGCCAGGCGGCAAATGCCGGCCAGGTTTGGGGGACGAGACACAGACCGACTAAAAAGATTAGTACAGACACAGAAACTACACTTTGCAGGCTACTTAAGACAGACACAGAAACTTCTACTTTACTAACTTTAAATACAATTGAGATTACTGCGTGAGGGCTGAGTTCACGGTGAGGTTGTCCAGCTGGGCATTGAACAGGACATCGCTGATCAGCTTCTCGGCGATGATCCGCTGCGTGGGATTGATGGCGCGCAGCTTGCTGGCCACATTCACGCCAATGGCGTCGTACTCATCATCGTGCCGATGTGACGTTGGCGCCGTCGTGGTGTATGCGGTCGTGCTGGCGTTGCCAAACAGTGGCTGGTAATGATCGCGTCCTATCTGGATGGTGGGCATCTGGGTGTGCCCGTTGGCCTGCTGAAGGTGCATCTGCTGCTGGTGCTGTTCCAGGGAGTTGACAGCCTGAAGAGGAAGAGGGTTTCATTAAGTTAGGAACTTCCATTACACTTGCGATTTTCCAACCTGTTGGATCTCGCGCTGGGAGTTCGAGTCCAGTGATGTGATCTCCAGAACCTTGACGGCATGACCCTGTGTCGCCGCCGCCGCTATGGAAGTCTGAGCCGCCGCATGTGCCACAAGCTGCTGGTGCGCCTGTGCTGCAGCCGCCGCCGCTTCGTGAGCCTGATGCTCCTCGCTCTTGACGAGAGCCACGCATTCCGCTGGAGTCACTGATATGGTGCTGAGGGTGGCACCCTGACTGCTAACCACCACGTTGCTGGCCGTGGCTGGGATCTCCTCCACTTCGTCTGAGGACGCGGGCACAATGCTGTCGATGTGCTGCGACTGTGTGGTTGTGTGATGCGATTCTTCCTCGAACTCCATGGACTCCTCGTCGTCGAAGCTGATCTGCAGCTCCCGCTTGGGCTTGCTGCCCAGCTCGTGGCGCTTGGGTTTGTGCTCGGCGATAAATAGCAGCTTGTCGTAGTACCACAAACGGGTTTCGTAGTCGTTTTTGCTGCTCGTCTTGCGGAATTCGCGCCGAAAAGCAGAGCGTAGCGAATTGATTTTCCTGCGCGGCAAAAAACAAAGTTACCCCCTGCGAAGCCAAAGGATTTGGGTTACCAGACACATACCTCACGACCATCGCCCGATCCGGATTCGGCTCCACTTCCTTAAGTTTCTCCACCAGTCGATCGTAAGATTTGTTGCGCGCTGCGTGGTTGCTGTAGTCATTGTGCTTTGGCTGCCAGAGGCACTCCTCCTCCTGGTACTGCTCGATGAACTCGGTTAACCAGTGACGCGAGTACGATCGCAGATCGACGTTCATTTTGAGTGTTTTTTCTTTGATTCCCTCAATTTTCTGTTTTGTTTTCGGTGCGTCTCCCGTGAAGTTGGCTGCGGCAGCCCGCCAGATTGCCAGATCGCTTTCATTGCGGGGGTGGTAGCGAATGGGATGACGCTATCGAGACTTTTTTGTCGATCTGGCCAACCAGCTTACGTGATATTACGCTATGTTGTCACGTTCTCTTGCTAACGGTAATTATTCAATGTCAGAATAGGAAAATAAACGTATTACAGGATCATTACAATTAAGTACATCACACAGTTTTCGTTTAACGTCACTTTACATCAACAAAATTTTTTTTAATTATCGCGCTGTTTGATTACGCTTTTGTTTAAAGCAAAGTTTCGCACCTTTCGTTTTATCAAAGTTTTAAACCTGGATTCAGTCAAAAATACAGCCACACCATAATTATTTTTGCAATTCTAGACAACGGTCTCATTTTGTTATTGTTTTTATTGTTTGAGCGAATGAAAAAAGAATAGTACGGTGCGAGCACGAAGCAAGTGTTTCAAAGTCCGCGAGAGCGAGCAGCAGCGGTTCGGTGTTATTGTTGTATTATTGGAGCGAAAGAGTGGCCGAAAAAGAATCAGTGCTAACAAAAACAAAAAGGTGCGTGTGTGTGCTACAATTTGTTTTTCTCGTTTTGCCCAATTATATAAGGTGTCCATGTGTGAGTGCTGGGGATGTTGCAACCGCTTAATTCGGCGTAAACAAGAGCGCTAATTGATAAAATATCAAAGAGGCAATGTGCAAAAAGCAAAGGTGGGAGAAGGAGAAGGGCGAAGGGCGGCAGCATGTCTGTCTCTGTTCCTCCATTGATACAAACACAACAACAACTGGGCTAGCTGAGCAACAGCTGTTCTTCCTTGGCTCAACTCCAATCAGAATTAAGTCACGTAGCCCGACTTTGGAATTGTAAACAACTAACCAGACTTTCAGCTTGGAATTGTAAACAACAAAAAAATCGAATTATTTCCAATGTATTCCAGTGCCAGTAGTTCCTGCCAAGTTGCATATGTATGAAATTTCTTTATTATTTACCTCAATTTGCATTGCCTCCAGTTGTTTTTCGCTGCCGGGTACAAAGTCCAATCTCCACGTTCGAGCCCACTATCTGCCACCCTTCCCCTCCCTCGCCTATTAAAGTCTATTTATAGACCAGCGGACAAACAAATTTCAATGCTAGAACCAAAATGGAAAGAAGAAACATTACAGCCATATAAATATAAGCATGTATGCTGGATCAACTGGATCCTCAACCTTGACTGAGTGCAAAAAGCGACAAATAAAACTCACAAACAAACACACGCCTAACGAGCTTGTTTACGTTTATTCAGCGCCGGCAACAACAGCATCCAGTGCACGCACAGTGGTCACAAAGCGGTTTACACTGCCTATAATCCCAGTTACTTTTGTTCTTATCGGAAAAAAGTATATAACCGGCACCACTACGTGAGAGCTTAAGTTATCCAAACACAAAATGTGGAATATTTGTTACATTTTTGGAGATAAACATGTCAAGATAGTGACAACTACAAGGAAGTTGAGACAGTGAAACATTTTTATTAAAATACTAGTAATCATTATTTAAAGTTAAATTCTTAATGTGAAAGTAGAGCAGATAAATTTATATTTTTTTAATATATAGTGAACAATCGATAAGTAAAATCATTAACGACGAAAGTTCCGAACTATTACAATTTTTTCTTTTTTGATAATATCATAAATTTTACATACTATAATATTAAATAATTATATTATATATTGTAAACGTATATTTCTTAAACATTTATCCCTCTTACCAATGACCACTGTACTGTCTGAGAATCTAAGTATGGCCGCAATCACGTTCAAGGCCGCGGCTTTTCTATTCATTTTCTATTGCGTTGATGATGAATGCTCTCGCTCTTAACGGTTTCCCTGCTTGCGTCGTCGACTGCTCAATGAAATGCGTTTAATTTTAGCCCCGATCAGCTGGTAAACTTGGAAAAGTGCCCGTAGCCCAGAAAGCATATTGACTCCGCCAACCAAACTAACCAGTAGCGCTCACCTTAGGCGCCCCCCCAGAGCACACGTGTTTCTGTTCGCATTTCGCGGGGTCCGTTGCCGTTTCCAATATTCGGCATGATAATTGTTTTGGAGGTGTGTGCCATACAAAGACAGGTGGCGGCTTTATATACTCATATGCTCGAACCGCTGATAATTCAGTGCTGTTTGCTTTTTATAATGAGCGGCGAACACAAACCAGTTGCTGGTGCGAACGAACAGCAAGTGGGGAGCCGGAGCCAACCCAGAACGATCCATCTCCTATCTATCGTAAGACGCAGTTGGCTGCCCGGCCACTAACTTATCAATTCCAGCTGATTAAGCGGAGAACTTGGGCCTCGCTGACCAACTTTAGCAGCATGACTCGACTCGGCCTGTCCCAAGCAAAGTTCAATTGCCAAGTTCTAAAGGGGCAGCCGGTAGATAGAACTCCTGCTCAAAGCAATTAAAGTGCCTATTTCTGAACCTATGCCAAATTGGGTCGAAATGCTTTTTGCAATTACGAAACAATTGTGAGAGATGAAAATTTGCATGGACTTGCGAAATTATTTGTGTTATCAACAAACACACTTGCTCCAACATTAGATTGCTGGGCTCCATAAATACAGCTGTTTGCACATAACAATAAACACTGAAAATCAAGTTTTTATTATTAAATTGTACCCTTTTGTATCAGGTCAGGTAATGTTGTTTACTTCAGGTGTTAATCAGTGCTCACAGACATCTTTTTCACCCGAATTTCAAAGTTGATAACAAACCGAACAAAAGTAATAACAAAGGCCAACCTGAACTCTTACCTAGATTATGAACTTGCTAAATAAAAACTAAAATAAATGGCAAATTACTTTCTAATTATTTGTTTAACACAGTTTAGTTTGAATATTAATACGAACTATTAAATAAATATATTGATAAAGAGATTTTTATATAAGAAACTAGAGATGGTTTATTATTAAGGATTTGATTATAATAGTCTGAATATTGATAATGAGGAACCTTAACCTAAACCTTCTTTACTTTCGGCTTTCTTAGGGTAATAATATTCTAAAGAACAAAATAGTTATACTTAACTATTACTTTGACCTATGCTGTCTCTTTATGTGTGCCCCACATATCATATAATGTCTCTGCCGGCGAAGACTTATAAACGCAAAGCAATTTGCGGATAGATTTCGATTAGTTTTCGGCCATATTGGTCTCTTATCAGCTGTCGCGATAAGCCCTCAATATAGCCAGCTCGAATTGATATTCAAATTGATTTTAGGTTCCCCAGAGCCAGAGTCTGCCATGAGCCGTCTCCTGGAGAAGCCCAACATCGCCATGTCCATCAAGTCAACGGGTAGTCAGCTCTCGAGCACGGTGGCCACGACAGCTGCAGGGACACCGCCATCGTCGGACGTGGGGGATGCGGACACATTGCGCACTCACTCAGCAGCAACAGCAACAGTGTCCGCAGCAGAAGTAGCCAATACCACACCCGCCATTACAGTCACGCCCAGTAAGTAATTAGAAAGATGTTTAACTCAGTATTAGTATCTTTGTATCGTTAATTTGTAATTACAAATTATTACCATCAAATCAAAGCCCAACTGTTGTTGTAACTGTATCATTATCTCCCATTATATGCTTGTAATGGTTAGCATTTCGTGCACTTTATGGTTTTCAATGAATACAATTTAAATATAAAATTGTACAAAGAAATAAATAATTTAAAAAATGAAGTCATTAGTATTTAAATCACATGCGTGACTCTGCATTAATCGCTCCTCTTTGTTTCCTTTCAAGTCCGCCAGAAAATCGACCAGGTCGTGATCAGCCTGGTTTCCGGAGCGGCGGCGGGTGCACTGGCCAAAACGGTCATTGCTCCGCTGGACCGCACCAAGATCAACTTCCAGATCCGAAACGATATTCCCTTCTCTTTCGGCGCATCACTGCGCTACCTGCAAAACACCTATGAAAAGGAGGGCGTGCTGGCCTTGTGGCGAGGGAACTCGGCCACCATGGCCCGGATTGTACCCTATGCAGCCATTCAGTTTACGGCGCACGAGCAGTGGCGCCGCATCCTGCACGTGGACAAGGATGGATCCAAGTAAGTGTTGGCTTTCTGCTGGAAGTGTAGAGTATAAGTACTAAGTTGGTTCCTTCTTGTTCCAGCACCAAGGGTCGTCGCTTCCTGGCGGGTTCGCTGGCGGGCATCACCTCGCAATCGCTGACGTATCCTCTGGATTTGGCTCGAGCCCGCATGGCTGTCACAGATCGGTATACGGGCTATCGAACGCTGCGTCAGGTCTTTACCAACATCTGGGTGGAGGAGGGTCCGCGAACCTTGTATCGTGGTTATTGGGCCACAGTCCTAGGTGTGATTCCATATGCGGGAACTTCCTTCTTCACGTACGAGACGCTTAAACGGGAGTACTATGGTGAGGATTCATATGTTTCACTTACTTGACTTAAATTAATAAGCTTTTTGTTTTGCTTCCAGAAATGGTTGGCAGCAATAAACACAATACTCTGGTCTCGCTGGTTTTCGGGGCTGCAGCAGGTGCCGCCGGTCAAACGGCTAGTTATCCGCTGGACATTGTGCGGCGAAGAATGCAGACGATGCGAGTGAACACGGCCAACGGAGATCGCTACCCCACCATCCTGGAGACGCTCGTAAAGATCTATCGGTGCGTGAGAGTGGTATTATAGCGTAAAGAGTTGAATTAATTTATACTTTTTCGATTTCCAGCGAGGAGGGTATTAAGAATGGCTTCTACAAGGGACTTAGCATGAACTGGATCAAGGGCCCCATTGCGGTGGGCATTAGCTTCTCCACTTACGATCTAATCAAGGCCTGGCTAATGGAGCTGTCGCATCTGAAGCGCGGTCGAGTCGAGCAGTAGCCCATATGTAACCACCACCCAGTCCCATCCACCACAAAACACACCAAAAACGCACTGCTTTGTTCTTAAGTCTCATCATAATCGATGGAATAGGAGAGGAGGAGTGCATCACCGACGACATGCTCTAATTGTTAGATATTTTTAGACGTTAGTTGTGAGAGAAGACAGGCGATAGGAGAATAATGCACCCGGAAGCGCTTACCTTTTGTTATTAACCATAATGGATTTATTATCGCTTTAAGCCGAAAGTATATAAGCCAATAAAAAATTTGGACTCGCCACTACTCCCTAGATCCCGATTCCGCGAGCTCCAGTTCGTTTTCAAAGGCGTTATTTGGACAATAACTTAACCCTATTACCACGCCACTCGTCTACTCCTAGAATATTGAATTAATTGAACATTTTGTATATTGTGTATGTTTCCTTCCCCCTCTCGATGTCAATATGCTTCGACTGTAAAAATTGCCATGAATTTATGGGTGTTCACCAGCGAAATCATCTTATGCATATACTACTGTAATTATTGTATGTTAGTGTGTTTTTTATTATTAAAATAAATTTACAAAATTGTTTAAAGCGGTGGCTTTTTGGGAAAAATTAAAAAAAAAAAAAAACTGTTGGAACCAGAATCTTAAAAAAAATGTTTAATCGAAATGTAGAACCAATTATTATTTTTAAATTGGTTAAAATTGTAAAATCCAACATGTTAAATCAAATTTTCGATCCTTTAACGAACATTTTAAAAAGCTCTAGTTATCCAGTGTTGCCAAATTTTATTTTTAGTAAACAGAGTTCTGTTAAACTAACATTTCTGGTATTTTTGTATTCCCAGCCCTGCATTTCGGTATTTTTTCGATGGCTAGCATTTAAGCGCTTCAGCTACGGTCACTCTGCCGCAAGCACTCGATTCGCAAAAAAAGAAAACAAATTATTTTAATTGTTTTAGTGATATTAAAGTAAAGTTGTGTTGCAATCGCCACCAACACGGTCGCGTACTGCATGCGGTCTTTGCATTCGCTGAAGTGGTGCCAACGTTTTCCACCTGCAGCAGAGGGCCATAACCAATAAGCAGTCGGAAAGGTGAGTCTTCTTTGGATCAAGAGTGGAAAAAATTAATTATTTAAGGCCTATTGATTTTGCGGGTGGGAGAGGTCTTCCAATGCCCCCCTGTTGCTATCGCCCACGCCCACCGCCCCGCATCCTTGGGGGCAGGATACCGATGGGATGGGTCGCCTGTTGCTGCGCACAACAGGTGAACTTGAACTTGAAAGTCTCTTTATCGCAATTTTCAGAGTACATAAAAGCGCAGAAGCACACATGCACTCTTGTAAATTGTTAACCTTGACATAAAGGACGCAGTGGATAAATTAAATGTAATAAACTTATCCGTCCCAAGTCGAAAACAAAATATCGTCAATAGCAGCCGCCAAAACTGCACATGTAAATCCCATTATTTATTAACACCAATTCTCAGAAACGCAAATTCCTTTTATAAACAATTCATATTTTATAGTTTTAGTTTTTCCAGTGTTGAATAAGCCAAATATTTCGCAAGATAACATACACGTTAACAGAACTGAGATTAGTGTGACCAACAAGGAAATACCAAAAGCATCGGCTTATCGATTTTATTTCATCGACGTCCACCTCTAGCGCACACTTTGAATCAGTTTGTATTTGTTGCTCAATTTAAAAGGTGATTTTAGAAGCGGAGGCTGTTTCGGGTGCGCAACAGTTGTATTTTTTCCCTGCAAGTGCACAAGACTGGGACTTGCTTCCAGTTTGAATTTACCTTCAAAGCCAGGATTCGGGACGCGTTCCTTTAAGTACGAGGGCGTGGGCGTACGTGTATGAGTGCGAGTGCCGTGTGCGTGTCTCGCGCGGCGTGTGTGTGAGCGCGATTTAAAAATAAAACGGCAAATACATAACAAATTATCGAAGAGCAACAGCAGCGGCGGCAGCGAACGAACCAATACAAACACCAGCCGTGTGTGTTTACACTTTGTTGTGCGTTGGTGTTTGTGTACCAAAGGTAAATGGAAAATAGAGAAGAAAAAAAGAGCAAAAACATGGGGGGCAGTTTGCTGTGTGTGCGTGAGTGTTTGCCTGGGGAAGGACGTGGACTCCACTGCACTTCTTTGCTGCGCAACACGATGTGTGTGGGCGTAGGGCTGGTGGGTGGATGGGTGATCGGGTTCCCATAGAAGGCTTCTCGAAGGTTAGGGCGACGAAGGGTCTTTGCATTTTAGCCAAGAATCAAATGCAGCCATCATGTGTTTCCACTTGAGGCCTTATTTATGCACATACACACATACGCTAATGCAAACACACATGTGTTGCGCCCTCTTGTTGTTGTTGTTTTTCCGCGCTCCTGTTTCTTATTCTTTTTCGTTCATGGTTATTTCCTGGAAAATCCATAAAAACAAAGGCAACAAGAATTTCGAGTGCAATAGCACAAATAACAGCAACAACACAGCTATCGAGTATATTAGCCGCTCTCGCTCTCTCCGTCTCTGTCTCCCTTCCTCTGTGTCCGTGCCCCGTTAGGGCTCCCCGTCCTGCTCCCACCCCTTAACAATCTCATATTCACATGCTACTCTTGCTTTCATACAAACATATTGTGTTGTACGTCGCTGACTTCTGCGCGCTCAACACTTTTATCTTGCTCGCTGTCGTTGGCCGCCACCGCCGCCGCTCCTCCTGCTCCCCCACATCCCCTCCTTTATCACCTCCGCGTCCTCCTCCTCATTCTCCTTCTTCACCTCTTTATTCGTTCGCTGCTCACACTGACGACTTCTTGGACATAACTTGGCTATAACGCGGCTGCCTTTAACCATTTCGGACAAATTACGATTGTCAGCGACGCTAAGGTTAAACGCCTTTGGCCGCAGGTTGCGTTTAACATTTGATAAATCGCAAAAGCGAACGCGCTATGAATTAATATATAGCTTATTATTAACCTAATATATAGCTTACTAGTCGGGAGATATATTATTTATAGAGGGTTAAGATCGATTTAATAACTAAATTTGTTAAGATCTCAAGGTTTGAGAACGTATATTACCAAAAATTTCAAAAGTTTTAACTTGAAATTCTTATATTTTGTATGCTTAAATATTTATGTATATATAGTTTCATTATTCAAAATTATTATACTGCATGATACCAATTCGATTCGAAATCTCAATATTTCCTTCCTTGATGTTATAATCCCAGCATATGCGTAAACGTTTTATCGCCACAAATCCAATCGCCTTGAGTTATTTCTGAACCTTAGGTTAGGAATTGCTAATTAATTTGCGATTATGCGAAACAGTCTCTTCAAAGGCAATTGCAGAGTTGCTCCTTATCGCCCACACCTCTCTTCCCCCTTATTTACTTGGTTACATTCCCACCTCCTTATCAAAAAGCAGCTTATTGCGTTGCATTTAATTGTAAATGGAGCAGTCCCCAGCTATACTACACGATAGACAATATTTACAGGCAACCGTTGATTGGGGTGGCCAATCTACTGTACTTACACTTTTTACGCCCGCTTATCGGGGAGGTCCGTTTAATGCTCTCCTGTATTGATAGTCGTTGGCCCTGTGCTCGCTCTAGAGCTAGAATAAATCTGGCAGAAGCAAAAATATAACACTCAAACATCAGCCGATTTCGAGTGTTTGTGGTGTCTAGGAAATAACTTTCCTCTTTTGATATGACAATGCGAATAAAACAGACAGAAGACACCCAGTGATACCCTATTATTTTAGTAAATAATTTTCTAAATCAATATTATTTTTGACAACCAGGAACGTGAATTTCCTTTAAAGCAAAGTTGCCCTAAGCTCTGACTCGCAAGGCAGAAAATTCAGAAATTTAACTAACTCAGGCAGAAACCATTTTCGAAATAGTTAATATATAGTTATAGTGTTCTTTTGTGCTTTATTAGTCTTTTCATTCATAAAAAAAAAAAAACCATTAAAAAACCCATAATTTAGACAGTTCTTAGTTTTCTGTTCATGGAAACAATCTTTGAAACGTCAATTGACAGATCAGTTGTCATTAAGTTCGTCACTAAGGCATAATAGGTTTTGTGCCAATCTACTGATAAGACTTTTGATGTTTAGAAATCTCACAAAAATGCTTCGAAAAATAAGTAAAATTCTAAGAAACTTATAGAGCTTCTCAAAAAAATATAGCGTTGTCCCCCATTAATGTATGACTTTGATAACCTAGCTGACCTCCTTGGCTAAAGCTTCGACACATGCCAATCTTAAATCACTGAATGTCGTCAGGGGCAATATATTGCGCAAAAATGTACAAATAAATTTCTAAAAATCAATTTATTAATGCACAAATGCATCGCTAATTGAAGTTCTGCAGAATCTATATGCAAGCAACTGATAAGACACAAGCAAAATTCCCAGCCTCCTGGCATTTTAGCTTAATCCCATACTCTGACGAAAACCCTTTGGTTCAGGTGATAAGACTGGATTCTGGGGAAACAATAAATGAGTCTGGCAACTGGTAACAAGCCGAATATACCTCGCTCAATGTTCCAGTGCCCCTCAGCATGGGAAGCGATAGCCGACAAACATTGTGCAAAATGTCAGGCAGGCAGCAACGATAAATGATTACTTAAATAACACTTGGCGGGGTGAAGAGCACTAGGGGAGGCGGCATCTCTGGGGTTGTTGGGGTTCTTCGAGTCGTTGGGGCCGTAGCTGCAGTGACGGTGAAGCGGGGTCCATTGTCGACGAACGACGTACGACGTACGACGTGTACCCACACAACAACCGGCGGGGCCGAACACTGAGGCATGCTTATTAAACTTTTATGAGTGCAAAAACAAATACCACAAGGCGGTTGTGTGTGCCAGTGTATGCGAGTGTGTCTGCGTTGTTTATAAAAAATTGAATAAGATAATACGAAATGTGCGGCTGGCACAAATGTCGAAGCAGCAGAAAGCAAAAAGAGCAAAAGGCGGACAGCGAAGAATAACAGAACCGAGGACGCTCTGAAACTTGGAAGTTTCTGTTTTGGACAGAAGTTAGAATCTACTAAGGTACCGTGAAAATTAAAGCAGGGCCCTAACATGCAATGTATGCCACCATTTTGTAAATCCTAAAGGAGTAATTTCAAACTTTACGAATTATAGAAATTCTAACCTAATAAAAATTAGTGCATTCCAAAGTTAGTTTTTTAATTTTTTAAATTTAGAATAGTACTAAGAATACATTGTTTTATTTTGAATACTTCAAATAAAGTTAAACTTAGCATCCAACTGTAAATTCTATAATTATCTACGGTTTAGAATTCTATATAATATATCAAAAGATTTACCCAAAGGTAATTCCATTAGTAATACAAATTTATTGTTATCTTGACTTGTATAGAAACTCCTTCAATCTACTTCTAAGAAGCAGTGCACCTAGATTTCAAAAGATTAGATTTGAGGAAATTACTTGTTCTGATAAATGATATACGATCACTGAAGCAATTAAATACACATTTTGATCAGATTTTAGGTAATCTCAATACCATTTAATCATTCTATCGTTTGCCGTTATTGTATAACATTTTTAGTTTTAAATATTTGAAAGAATTATTAGCTTGCTCTTCTTAAAATACTCTATCCTTTTTTAAACTTAAAGGTAACAATAAAGTTAATCTTAATTGATTTTTCGTAGTAATTGAATTTAGTTGTTTCATGCACTCTTATACCTTAACTGTTGCTTGATTAGGTAGCGTCCGATTGCCCTCAGGTATCACTGTGCCACCTTGTAGTCTCTAGCTTTATGATATGTACTTAACTTCGAGCTGACTTATCAGTGCCGAGTTGGTATGGTTGCTGCCATAAAACTTTCCACTAGCGGCATTTGGATTCCTTGGAGCTTTTCAGTTCGCATGAAAATTGGGATCTCCTCTATATCTATCTGGCTCTATCTTGTTTATACGCCCACTTTGCTGCAGATAACACGTTTTCCAGAATTTTCGCTGTGGCAATACGCCAAAATTCGTCTGTATGGCCTACTATAATACCACCTTGGGGGATTATATCCAATCTGTATCTGCAGATTGTTGTTTATCCCAGATATATACTACGTACATAGAAAGATAAACAAAGTGGCTTGGCGTGTGGGATAAGATCTGCCTGGTTTTTGGCATTTGGCTTTTGTTGGCCATGAGTCATCGAGTCAAACGCTTATCTAAGACGCGCCTATTCGGCTTTTATTTTCTGGCTCAGCATTAATCACACGGCTAAATGTGCAATTCGCCTGTTTTGTTATTCTTCTCCCTTTCTTTCTCTCTGCACCTCTGCCTCTCTGTTTGTTTGCGATTCGCTTTTTGTTTGCCGCTGGCGGCAGCAAAAACAATTTCTGTGTGGGCAGCTGGCCGGCAGCGAAGCTCGTTGAGATACAGATACGTATACAAGCATAGATACACAGATATACAAATACATTTAACGATACAGATTCAGATTCAGATACAGATACAGATACAGATACATACCGACAAACAAACGGTTTAATAGACGAACATGTGTGTATGCCATAACAATTGGCACCCAATTGCCAATGGAGATTGCTAGGCACTCCGGGTTTTCCCCTATTGACTTATATTTTTCTTGGATCTGCTTTACATACCACCGCCCCCCGCCCCGGCCAACCCAAACGGATGTACAAAAGCCGCCCAACCAGTTCGCTTTTCCAAACCACTTTCATTGCACTTCAAGGTTGCTGGCTGCATCACATGGGCAATTGCAACATGGTGGCAAAAATTCGCTGATACAGATTAGACTGAGGCAAGCGTTAGCTGAGCACATTCCCGAATTTTCTCAGAATTTAAATTTGCCTTATCTATATTTTATCAATTTAATATATTTAAATACCAATAGATTTGTAACATTTCATTATTTATTATTTCCGGGCGGAAAGAAGTCGATTTGCTAGCCTCTTTTGACACTGAGAATGCTACGATATAAGCTATTGGGATAATCGCCGATTCTCCGAATACTCACCAAAAGGCCAGACGTCAATGCAAATTCAAGTTTTGCAACTGAAAACATTTTCGCCGACGCGAGATCGAAATGAATTTATATACATACGTTTAAAAAGAAATGAAAAAAAAAAAAAAAAAAAAAGCTTCGTTACACATTTGTGTTTTGTGTGACGTGCTTTGGGGTCTCTGCTGTATACACGTTTTTAACCCTCTGAGGCCAGCCAGTGGCAAATTACCCCTCCATGATGCCCTTTTGGATTGGACATGTGCGTGTACATTTACAACTGGGTATAAATAACACTCTCTATCTGCCGTGTACGGCTGCAACTAAGTAAATATATCTGCGCCCTCGTATTGCTGCGCTATAAATCGCGTATGTGCTGGGGCTACCAGTTATCGCGGCTTTTGCGGTAAACACAAATCCAACCGATGTTGTATCTTGGCTCATTCATGGCATAAAATCGAAGAAAAAGATGCTTTGTTATAAAAAATGGCTTCTTTTGTGATTCGTAATTTGAAATCATTTTCGCTTGACCTATTTCGCTGGTATTTATCTTACAACTTTTTCGGAGAATCTAATTCAAAATGCGTTTTGTTTAAGGTTACCCCAGCATAAACACAAATGTGTTTGGGTTTTGTGCAATAATAATAATGCTATTAAAATCGATTAGAGGAAGCTCTTGATTTTAAACTTAGATTTAACTTAAAATTTAACTAAAGAAGTATGTAATTATATAGTTTGCAAATAGTAGAGTTACATATTTTATTATTTTTCTTAGTTGTAGTTGCTATTTTTTTTGCAGTGAGTCTTTGTTGTCGAAGATATTTAACGCTTTTAGCGTCCATGCTGAAAACTTAAAAAGGCCGCACAACATATTTTTTATAGCGTCTACCTTTGTTTTTTTTTTATTTTGTTTTGTTTTGCTTTCATTAAGCTCTCTGCTGCTCGTGCGGATAGCGAAACCAAAACTGGATTTGATTTCGGGGCAACAGAACAACAAGCCAAACGATCCACAGAAAGTTTTTAGCTTGGTATCAGCTTGGTTCTGATTTATGCCTTGTTTAAAAGCATACTATAGATGGTTTCCCTTAGCTAGGGCTCCGACTTTTATCATAAAATTACTCCAGAAAGAGCTTTGTTTCAGAAAGAGCATTCCCTTGGCTTAGTGGATGTCCGTATGTGTATGTAGTTACGGTCCCCTATGACTACGACTCGCGTCGTCCACAGCTGGTGTGATATGGAGTGCTGGTGGGATTTCCTCGGTCCCAGAGGAAAGTCGACAAGGGCGCCATCCATCCATGCATTTTTTTGGTAACTTTAATTATGGCTTTCGGTCGGTTATTTTCGCTGATAATATACGCCTGCGTTACCCAATTATACGACCCTCGAAGAGTCACTGTGCCGGAATTTGCATAATAATGCCATTAGCCGAATTTCATAATAGTATAATATTATGAGTTTATGAGCAGAACACATTTTTCTCTTTGTGTTTTGGCAACTATTTGGGGTTTTTTCAGTTCCTGCTAAGCAAAAGTTTCTACTCTATTAGCTTTTCCTAGAAGCACTAGAAGAAGGCGCTATTTAAAGTTTGTAAATTGTCCTGATAAGTGCTATGAGTTTTCCACCTAATCCATACGCAATCTTTCACGGCAATTGATTCATCGATGCCTTTTGGTCATCGCCTTATCGGAACATGGTAAATATATGGAATATGCTGAATTTCCAACAAACCCAGATTATTCTAACTACTTCAGCGTAATTTTCATATCATTCTTGCCTTCTTGGCCATTCACGTTTCGGCCTTATCACAGTCGCGAAGGTGGGCGGTATAAAAGCCACAAATGAAATTGGCAAAGCCTTCAGTTGAGTTCCTTCGATCGATCGGTAAAGTCTCCCGGTTAATCATTCCCATTATTAAAATATAACATTTAATTGTTTGTTTTTCCCCGCGATTTAATATTATTGTTTTGATTGAAAAGCGATCCCCCCGATGTCACAGATTTAATATTGTTGCTGCTCCGATCAGAGTTTGTTTGTAAACAGTCTGCTCGATTGCCCCACCTGACAGCTTCTGCTCTTCTCCGATAACCCAACTGGGATCAGGACTGGACTGGCTGGCTGACTGGTGGGGATCAGGGAGAATTCAGCTTAAAGCCGGCGGAATCGATCCGAGCAATCAAAACACGCGCCCGAGGCTATTCTTTTTGTTGACAAGCAGTCCCCTATGCCTGGCATTGATAACCCTGGCGGCAATGGGTGACTCACCTCGGATGCAGCTGTGTTTCTGTCTTAAGTTTGCAACTTTTCAAGCTGATAACAAGCGGAAAAGTACTACTCCTACTAAGGCCGAAAAGAAAAACTTTGTGCCAACTTGGCCGGATTGCATCCGTCAAACTGACTTGGCACATTAGAAGCAACCACACCAAAACCAAAACCAAACCAAACCAGAACCTTGAACTACTTTACTTTGGCCCAAGAAGCGGCGAAGGCCAGAAGCAATAGCAACCGCAACAACTCATGAATAGAAAGAAACCTGCCCGAGAGTGGAGCACAAGTAAACTATCCCCGATCTTTTCTTTTTCCATCTACCTAAGCAGAGATGACTCCCTGACTCGCTGATACCCAGTGAGCCGCACATCCGATTTCGGTTCCTTTTGGGGGCAGGTATCGCCGCGACCTGTTCTGTTTGCATCATCAAGCAACCTTTGTTTCTACTGCGGACTTGTCCCTTTGCCTGGCCTGCATTTTCGAGGGTCTGTTTCTTCTTCGGCCATTAGATCCTTATCTAAGTTGGCTGCTGCCTGGCCTGGACTGGTTTGCCTTGTTTACCACCACCGTCACTCTTTCGACTACTTCCATGCCGGTTCCAAATTCTCCTCTCCGTTTTCTCGGGCCATTCATATTTGCTACGTGAGCGTCGCTGTGGCCTTTTTTCCGCGTAACTACAGAAATTAGCGTATCGACCACAAAAGCAAACATGCTTCGGTTCGGGCTCGGATTCGTATTTGGGTTCAGTTCAGGTTCTTGGTTCTTGGTTCTCGGTCTCGGTCTCGGCCTGGGTCTGGACCTGCGTCTGGGTAACCGCTCATTTACGGTCACGTTTCGACGACAAACAAATGTCGCCAGTCGCGGACCAGTCGGTACCAAGCCAGAGGAGAACCCTGCCCGGGGACAGGAGAAGGGCTCGGCCTGTGGCTGTTCTGCCATAGTGCTGCCTTATCAGCGCTATTTAGCATGGCTATAAAGAGCCATATTCCCCATGGATCGGACTTGCCCGCCCGGCGGTGCAATTAATTTTCACACCTGTTGTTCCGAGCGTCTCGAATTCACCTCACGCTTTGCTTCTGCTGCTCTCTCTGGCTGTGTGTTTCGTTTTGTTTACTTTTTCACCTGCGTGCGAGCTGGTTTTTTTCTCGGTGTGTGTCTGTTTGTGTATTTGCCATTTGCAATAATTTTTTGTTATGGTAATCAAAGGCTAAAGCCAAAGCCTGGACAACGCATACATTCAGCTCTTTACCGCGCTCATAAAGCCATGTTCTATGACCTCACGATCCGGTTGGGGGAATCTATTTCCTTCTCTGGTATTTCTACTTAATTATGGTTTTCCATTAACCAAATTGAAGGCATTTTTTGTGGTTAGTTGATATATAAAAGCCAAATTAATTAGCTTTAGTTAGTAGTGGTTTATCTACTTTACAATATCAGTATAAATATTAGCTATTTACGATGTGTAATAGTTCTGGATCGCCGCTTAAAAATGATGTCTCACTGAATACTATTGACTTTACCTTTTGCTTCTAAACAAACAGTTTCTGCTTGGTTATTTGATCAAGGGGAGACCCCAAACCTTGTTACAACAATAGACTCTCTTTATGCATAGAATGCATTGCAAAAAAGGTTGACATCGCTTACGGATACCATTGAAACCATGCCAGTCATCACATCCTCACATATTGTGCCGTTTATCATATTGAAAGAAACATCGCACTTACCCACATATGAACATATGCTTGTGTATTTATAGTTCCCTCCTAACCATACTAAAAAATCAAACAAAATCAGACAAACACGATATCGATTGCATGTATGCGAGTGCATTTTATGGACGCCTTAGACTGTGGAAGTTACCCGGAGCTTAACCGGGTCAAGAGCCTGTTTCAGGACAGAAATTGAAATTGATACAGAAACTGAATCAGAATCCGCACCAGAGAAAAACCAAGCCCCCAGACAGTTGCACAGATCACCAACACTTCCATTCAGCATTCAGCTGTCCCAGCTAAGCATCCACACTCACAATACCATCATCATCCATCCGGGTAGATCAAGAGCATGAGCCTGTGGAAGCGCATTTCCAGCCATGCCGACTGCGAGCAGCGTATGGCGGCCCACTACGATGAGAAGGGTCTCTTTGACCTGCGCATCTGCTTGGCGCCCTGGATCGAAGACAGGATAATGTGAGTAGAGAGCGGCCAGTTGTGGGAAATGGGGTAATAAAAGTGCACTAAGCAACAGAAGGATTAGTTTAAGTCAACCGCCGGAACCGCCTGAGCATGATCTAATTACTTTCCCTTCTCTTTTTCACCCGCCTGCAGGTCTGAGCAGATCACACCCAACTCCACAGAACAGCTAGAGCGCGTGGCACACAAATTTCACGAAGATTTGCAACAGAAGCTTCTCTCCACGCGTACCGCCAGCGATCAGGCACTGAAATACCGTGTGGTGGAGCTCTGCGCCCTCATCCAACGCACCTCCGCCGTCGAGCTATATACGCATCTGCGCAGCGGCCTCCAGAAGGAACTGCAGCTGGCCACAGAAAAGAGCGTGGCATCCACAGCAGGCCAATCTATGCCGCTCAATTCGTACAACATGAACGCCGCCGCCATGGCCACAGGCGGCTACATGGACACCAATGAGATCTTGGGCGTCACCAACAGTTGCAATCCTGTCCAAAACATGAGTGTCATGCCGTGCACTGTGCAGAACCCAGGCATTGCGTCTCCCGCTTTAGGAATGGCTGCACCCAAGGTGGAGCTGTACGAGGTCCAGCACCAGATAATGCAGACCCTTAACGAGTTTGGCGCCTGCGGCAACGCCCTGAAGTTGCTTGTCCAAAATTACAGCTACATGCTGAACTCCACAGCCTCGCCCAATGCGGAGGCGGCCTTCAAGTGTCTGATCGAAGAGAAGGCCACCATCGTGATCACAGTGCGTCGCAGCTTCATGTACTACGAGTCGCTGTACGAGATGGTCTTCCACGAGCTTAAGAACTGGCGCCGCCAGCAGGCTCTTGCCGGAAACGGGGCTCCGTTCAATGAGGGAGCCCTCGATGATATTCAGCGCTGCTTCGAGATGCTGGAGACATTTGTTGCCCATCTGCTGGCCGCCATTAAGGAGATAATGCGCGTCCGCCTGGTCAGCGAGGAGCCCGAGCTGACACACCTCCATGAACAGATCCAGCTCTCGCAGAAGAATCTGGTTTGCTCTGCTTTCATTGTGGACAAGCAGCCGCCGCAGGTGATGAAGACAAACACACGCTTTGCAGCCTCAGTGCGCTGGCTCATTGGATCCACACTGGGCATCCACAACAATCCACCCACTGTGGAGTGCATCATCATGTCAGGTTTGTATTTCAAAGATTCTGCTCCTCTGGATACCACGGTTCTAATCTACTCTTTTTTTTCCCTCAGAAAACCAAGCACATCGTTTCGTAACTCGCGGCGCCCAGTTGGACAACAGCTTGGCCGGACAGTCGTCGGGCGAAATTCAGAACTGCTCCAGTACCATGGAGTACCAGCAGAACAACCACGTGTTCTCGGCCAGCTTTCGTAACATGCAGCTAAAAAAGATCAAGCGGGCGGAGAAGAAGGGCACGGAGAGCGTTATGGATGAGAAGTTCGCCCTCTTCTTTTATGCCACCACCACGGTGAACGATAGTCATCAGGTCCGCGTTTGGACCCTGTCCCTGCCCGTCGTGGTGATCGTGCACGGCAATCAGGAGCCCCAGTCGTGGGCCACCATCACCTGGGACAATGCTTTTGCGGAGATTGTCCGAGATCCCTTTGTGACCACCGATCGTGTCAGTTGGGCCCAGCTCTCTGTGGCGCTGAACACCAAATTTGCATCGAGCACACAGCGCTCGCTGACCCTCGACAACCTGGACTTCATTTGTAAGCCTTATTGTATGTCTTAGCTGGGGGATTCTAATCTGTTTTAATTCTGTTTACAGACGAGAAGCTCCAGCGTGAAGAACGGTCTGAATATATAACGTGGAACCAGTTCTGCAAGGAGCCCATGCCAGATCGCTCCTTCACCTTCTGGGAGTGGTTCTTTGCCATCATGAAACTCACCAAAGACCACATGTTGAACATGTGGAAGGCCGGCTGCATCATGGGCTTCATCAACAAGGCCAAGGCGCAAGATGATCTGCTGCGCTCTCCCTCTGGCATCGGCACCTTCCTGCTCCGCTTCTCCGACAGCGAGCTTGGTGCGTAAAACCAGCTTTCTTGAGGCTAAATTCTTAACATATATTATATATCGCAGGAGGGGTCACCATTGCCTATGTCAACGAAACGGGATTGGTCACCATGCTGGCCCCCTGGACTGCCCGTGACTTCCAGGTGCTTAACCTGGCCGATCGCATTCGTGATCTTGATGTCCTGCGCTGGCTGTATCCCAGCGACCGCAATGCTCTCTGCGTCGAGCGAGACACCGCCTTTGGCGAATTCTTTTCAAAGCGTCAGGGTAAGCATTCCATCGGGCATTATACAGTACAAAACATGTCCTAATCAGAACCCAATTCCCGCTGTGCAGAACCCTCGCCCGGCTACAAGAAGACCACCCTGCACGTCCAGGTTTGTAACAGCAATGGCGACAACGGCTCCACCAGCGGAACACCGCATCACGTGCCGACGCATGATGGCATGCAGATGGGAAAGTAAGTTTCGCATGTCTGGGCTCATTCTACTCCAAATCCAGTAATGATCGAATTGGCTAACTAATAAAAGCTTGTTACTAAGCTCGAGTGCCTGAGTAGACAGCTAATCCTGGGCCCGAGGGATGATCAATCCAGCTGATGATGATCCGCCTTCACATATTTCCGCTTATTTCCTTTACTTTGCGTTGTTTTGCTTATGATTTTGACAAAAAGAAAAAACAAAAGTTTAACCAGATTGCAATACTTTGAATTCGAACAAAAAAGACTTTGAATCCGAAAACCGAAAACGGAACACGGAAAACGTTTGTTGTGCCTGAGACTAACCCAAAATTTAGGCTAATAAAACTAATAAAATTTTGTTGGAAACTCTGGACGAGAGGAGAGCGAGAGCGAGCTCTCCCCGATCTCTACTTATTTCTAGTCGAACAGAAAACTTATCACCTGTGTGCTCTCTGTTTATTTTCATTTATCGTCTCCACCTTCCTCTGCGACTTGTTGGTCATTTTTGGGTGATGGTTCAGTATTGAGGAATCAGATTCCGATGGCAGCGAATACGCAGGGGAGATTGCAAGGTTCCTGCAAGAGGCCAATCCCAACGATCCTGCAGTGAGCGCGATCAATGATACCATAATGATGTGCTCCCCGAGGCACATAACGATGAGCTCCTAAGGAGCAGCAGAGCATACAGACTGTTGATTCGGTTCGGTCACTTACCGAAAGGTATAACAACAATTTAATTATGTTCGCATCTCAAAATCATTCAAATCCGACTATGTTCCCTCCGTTCGCGGTCCATCCATTCGCTCGTTGCACAGCAGCCGCCGCCGCCGTAACAGTCGTAACTGCGCTCTCTCATCCGCCTTCCCGATGGTCATCTTTCATATCCATTTCCATCAGCAGGCCATATCCCGGGTCATCATCAGTTTCAGTTTCAGTTTCAGTTGGGTTCTCCTTCAATCAGGTTACTAACTCTAGTCTAGACGGTTGCCCTATAACACCAATCACAATATTATTTGTTTGCATCAAGTGGGTCTTTTGTAATTTTGTGTTACAGTTATTGTCTTGTTCAAAGTATTGCCATCTGTATAAACTTTTCAGCTTCAAGAAGATTTATGTATGAATAAATCAAAATCAATCAAAATTTCTCAAACTCTAAAATTGTATCTCTCTAACCGCTTACCCTTTTCCTCTTCTATTTATTTCGCTTCGAACGCAGCTTACAGAATAGCACCATCATGCACCTGTAAATCTGATCCTAAGCTGAATCTAGATCTCAGCTAGCCAAGCAACCGAATTAGACAAAACGAGAAAAGAGAAAATCGAATTACATATTTAAACTCTTGCTTAAAAGTCGCGCAACAATTACCAGATTAGAGTTATTAATATTTGTGCATGGCCTCTTTGGGGCTCGTTTGTTCGCATGTTCGTTGCCGTTGTACCTTTCGTTTTAATTGTGATTTCTCTCCCGATTTGATGTTAGTGTTGTTGCAAAATATATATTAAAATTATTTAATGTTAAGGGAACCGGTCACTGCAGCTGGCTTTCATTAAAGGCTTTGCGTCATATTAAGCCAAAACAACACAAAAAACAACCTTCATTTCTCTTTGCATTTCCCTGGCATTTCTCATTTCTCTCCTCTCTATGATCCTTCTCCCCCTCCACCTACCTCTTGAACTCACCTCCTGCATGAGTTTGGCTTTTTTTTTCGATTATTATTTATTAATCCATTTTCTTTTTACATTTTACCCCCCGTTTATTCCATGTTCCAGTGGCGACTTTGGGATAGCGGACTTCGATTCAATGACGAACTTTGAGGTATATAACTAAACTAACTATAAACTATGTAGGAACGAAATCGTATAAGCGCCCGAAGAAGGTGTGTTGGCACCGCTATCATGGAAGTGGATCGTAAACAGCGATTGGAACACACCGCCGCGATCTGGCGTGACTCATTTGTGCTATTCGAAATTATTATTTTATGTTATCTAGATGTAATTATTAGAAATTGGAATGCATCGTAGAGGCAGGTTTTGTTTGGTATGTATTTTAACTGTATGTTGATTAATAACAATCAATAACCAACATGCACTAAATCCTTGTATATGCACCGAGATATACTACACATATAGACATCGAATAACGAGTTGTAGCAACAAAAGTATTAACTGTTTTAGCAAGAAATTAAGAAATGAAGAGGTTTATTATGCTTAAAATATTGAATGTTCTTGGGTGTCGAGTTTTAACTGTTAAAAGTTGTTGTTTTGAACGTTTTATTATACACTCTTTATACACACAAGTAGAATGAGAATTTTGAGGAAACGGAAACGGAATCGGGTTTGCCGCCGCCGCTGGTTTCACAGGTCAAGGATCCGTTAGCATTGTAAGACTAGATAGAAGAGGGTTTGAAACTGCGAAACAGGGAATGAGAAACTGAATGAAATTACGAATTTACAACCAGATATGATCAATATCCGTATATATTTACAAATATTTACATAAAGAGAACGTTCCTGTGTGGCGGAAACTATTTTTGAAACAGATTATAAATGTTAATCAACTAACTAACGATTACTAAATACGATTTGATCGGTTTTAACTGTTTAACTTTATCCTTGCAGCTTTTGTGAAACGCCTACAACAATACCAACAACAATAATACGATCTAGCAGAGCAATGCATGCAACACACAGAACACCACCCAGAACACTGTCTATATCGTGAACTATGATTGTGTGTCCGGGCCTGGTCTGACTTGAGCAGAATTTAGCACTTTCTGTTATGTATAAACCCTTTGGAATGTGTCCGCATGTTATTCGTTTTATATTTTTATATATACGTACCATCTATATATATATATATCTGTATACTTTGATTTTTTGTACCACTCACTGCTGGTGAGAAAGCATTACTTTTAGACAATGAATCGGTTTAGTTAGTGAGTAACTATTTGTTGAATCTAAATTTTTTTTAATTTTGATTTTAATTTTAAACGACTAATCATATTTTTTGAAGTATAAACTAAGCCTAATTTAAGCTATGACGACGGAGGAAAGGAATCAAAAGGACGAGATAGCCACACGCAGAGCTAAATTGCGTTTACTTTAGTTTATAGTTTATAAGTAACATTGTGAATTGCTTTATGTGAAGAACACACAACCCACTCCCCCATCCTTTATTGGCTTCCAATGCTGAAAATGCGCAAAAAATTTAAGAAATCTATGTTTGTATATTTTGTTTATCTTACAACGTGAATTTAAACCATTTGTTTTCGAGTCAGGGCTCTGTTTGCAATGCATTTTAAATGCACCAATCATGCCAATTGCCTTTTTAGTCAGTTATCAGAGACACACTACGATTATTACACTATATAGAAAGCGTAAGCATAATACTTTATGTAAACGACACACAACACTACACTCTAAGCTTTGTATGTGAACCTTAAGAATTTTATAAGACTTAAGTACAGCCCCAAAATAAATTCAATAAAAAAGAAACCAACTTTGATGCGAGTTTTGTGAGGAAAAATAAGAAAGAACACAAGTTCGATCTGAGAAACCTAATGTTAATTTGAGTACGTAACGTTTTTATTAAATTGTAAAATCTCGCGCACAGTTACACATTCCCACTGACAAATACTGATGAAAACAGACACCAAACAATGTTGTTACTGGCGAAAGCGATTGTATTTGATGTCCTGCTCTCAACGAAAACTAATTGTGTACATTGTGTAAGTGTTTTAAATGTAATTTCCAAAGCTATATTGGGTGTGCTGCAATTTTGAAAACTCAAGTGGGAAATAACTAAATAACTATTCTTGTCAAAATGGCCAATAAAACAATTGATTTTAAAAACTAACAACAATGTGTATTTATTTTTGGATGGTTCGTTCATGTTAGGGATGCCAGAAAATGTTGATATATCGATTCTGTTTAGATATACGGCTTAAAAATCGATACAGATCGCTACATCGATGTTTTGAAGCAATATAATTTTATAATATAAACAAATTGTTTCTGTTAAATGCGACATTTTTTGATATTTCCAAGTAGGTTAGCGTATTAGTTCTTCGTTATTTTTCTTCTCGATGTTCATTCCTAGATCCTTAGATCCGTTCTTGCACAGGCAATGTCACTGCTGGTCAGTGTTAAGTTTAAGTTTAGGATAAGTTTAACTAAACTTTGCTGCTAGCAAATACTGTCTGATGAAGATACGCTGTCAAAACAAAAAGATGAATTGTAAAAAGTTTTTATATGTAAATTATAGGTATTCGTGGTCTGCTTTCCATAAAATTTTTAAAATTTGATAACAAATCTTGAAGTAACCGAAGTTACATGAACTTATTTCAACAATTTCTTAATCATTTCAATAAAATCTATAGTGCTCGCACTTGTGTAAAACCCTATGGAGCACTTAAATCTTTAATGAAATAACTAATGAATGCGGCATGTCATAATACTATAAATAGTTGTATTTTTTCCCCCAAAAATAATTTATTTATATACAAAAAAAAAACCTACATTTTCCTTTAAAGATTTTATAATTTTAAGCTAAAATAACAAAAATGTACTAGTTTTACACGTTAACTGAACAACGATGTGGAATTTCCTATGGGATTATTAAGAATGGGGTCTAATTCTTATTTTTGGGGTAGATATTCCATGTAGAAGGTAAGTAATGTTAACAGATCTGTTCGTTTCTGTACATTTCATTCGCAAAATGATGTTACTCTCTTGAAATCGTAATTCTCTTTTAATTGTTTTCACTCTCCCAACCGTTCATGTTCAGATTTAAAAGCGCAACAGTTGAATAGGCATAGGTGGTAATGGGGAAGGGGGTGAATTTTCCCACCACGCATTTTCCGCATATAGGGTATGGGAAATAAAAAAACAACAGAACAACTAAAAGCGTGTAATAAAGGCTTTTTTTTTTAAATTTACGTATACGTAATGTATAAATGTAATCCAAACAATTTGCCCCCCACGCAAAGCAGGGTCGCTACGGCACTGTTGCTCGGAGAATTTAAAAGCAGAGGCGAGTTTCAAGTACGCAACAGTTGTATTTTTTCCTTGCAAGTGCGCTGCTCGTCTGGGACTTGCTTCCAGCTTGAATTTATCTTCAAAGCCAGGATTAGGGAGGCGTTTCTTTAAGTGAGCGTACGTGTGTGTGAGCGCGATTTGAAAATAAAACTGCAAATACATAACAAATTATCAAAAGGCAACCAATACAAACACCCGATACCAGATAGCCGTGCGTGTTTACACTTTGTTGTGCGTTGGTGTTTGTGTACCAAAGGTAAATAGAAAATGGAGAAGAAAAAAAGGGGAAGAACATGTGGACATTTTGTTGTGTGTGTGCGTGAGTGTGTCTGTGTGTGTGGATGGAAGTGGACTCCATTGCAATTTTGCGTAGGACTAATGAGTGATCGTATTCTCGAAGGTTTGGACGCTGAAAGCTCTTTGCATCTATTGTTTCCACTTAAGGCCTTATTAATGCACTTACTTAATGTTTCTTATTCCTGTTTCTGCTGTTTCTTATTTTTCTCCGTTCATGGTTATTTCCCATAAAAACAAAGGCAACAAGAATTTCGAGTGCAATATCACAAATAACTGCAACAACACATCTATAAAGTATTTGCAGACTTGCTCCTTATCGCTCACACCTCTCTCACCCCTTATATATGTATTTACTTGGTTACATTCCCACCTCCTTATCAAAAAGCAGCTTATTGCATTGCATTTAATTTTAAATGGAACAGTCCCCAGCTATACGCGTTAGACAATATTAAAAGGCAGCCGTGGCCAATCTGCTGTACTTACATTTTTTATGCCCGCTTATCGGGGAGGTTTAATGCTCCTCTGTATTGGTAATCACTGGCCCTGGGCTCGCTCTAACGCAAAAGTTATAAAACTCAAACATCAGCCGATTTCGAGTATTTGTGGTGTCTCGGAAATGACTTTCCTCTTTTGAATGGGCAATGAGAATGGATCAGAGAGAAGACACCCAGTGACACCCTATTATTTTAGTAAATAATTTTCTAACTCAATATTATTTTTACAACCAGGAACGTGAATTTCCTTTAAAGCAAACTTGCCCTAAGCTCTGACTCGCAAGGCAGCAAATTCAGAAATTTAACTAACTTAGCCAGAAACAATTTTTGAAATAGTTAATATATAGTTATAGTGTTCTTTTGTGCTTTATTAGTCTTTTCATTCATAAAAAAAAAAACCATTAAAAAACCCATAATTTAGACAGTTCTTAATTTTCTGTTCATGGAAACAATCTTTGAAACGTCAAATGACAGATCAGTTGTCATTAAGTTCGTCACTAAGCCTAAATAGGTTTTATACCAATTTACTGATAAGACTTTTGATTAAAAAAAAAAAAATACAAAAAATTAATAAATTCTAAGTAACTGATAAAGTTTCACAAGAAATATATGATGATGGCTTTGAAAACCTAGCTGACCTCCTGTCTAAAGCTGCGACACATGCCAATCTTAAGTCCCTGAAGGTCGTCAGGAGCATAATGCTGCGCAAAAATATACAGATAATTTTTGGGGTTTCTAAAAATCAATTTATTAATGTTGACATGCATCGCTAATTGGAGTTTAATAAGCAAGCAAGCAGCTTAATCTAACATTTTAGCTTGATTGCATGCTCTGACGAAAACCCATAGGTTCAGGTGATAAGACTGGATTCTGGGGAAACAAAAAATGGGTCTGGCAACAAGCCGGATATGCCTCGCTAAATGTTCCTGTGCCCCTCAGCATGGGAAGCGATAGCCGACAAACATTGTGCAAAATATCAGGCAGGCAGCAACGATAAATGATTACTTATTTAATACTTGGGTTCTTTGAGTTGTTGGGGCCGTTCCTGCAGTGGCGGTGGAGCAGGCTCCATTCTCGTCTAACAACGTACGAAGCCGTGTACCCAAACAACAACCGGCGGGGCCGAACACTAAGGCATGAATTTTATTTTTTATGAATTTTAGATTTTATCAGGTATTTATTAAAAGCTATGAGTTCGAGTTAGGGGGAAGGTGGGTTGTATAAAAGCCTCAAAAGAAATATGCAAAGTCTTTATTTGAGTTCCTTCGATCGATCGGTGAAGTCTCCCCGCTTATTCATTGCCATTATTAAAATATAACATTTAATTGTTTATTTTTCGGCTATTTGTTATTTGTTATGAACGCAATAGACTTGATTGCCTGTGGAAGTTACCCGAAAATTGGAATTGATAGAGAAACTGAAACAAAATTCGCACCAGAAAAAACCAAGTCTCAAGACAGTTGCACTGATCTCACCAACACTTCCATACAAACTTCACGAAGATCTGCAACAGAAGCTTCTCTCCACGCGCAGAAGGAACTGCAGCTGGCCACAGAGAAGAGCGTGGCATCCACAGCAGGCCAATCTATGCCGCTCAATTCGTACAACATGAACGCTGCCGCCATGGCCACTGGTGGCTATATGGACTCCAATGAAATCTTGGGCGTCACCAACAGTTGCAATCCTGTCCAAACCATGAGTGTCACGCCCGCTGGCTTCATGGCTGCACATAAAGTTAATCTGTACGAGCTACAGCTCCAAATAAAGCATACCCTTAAAGAGTTCGGCGCCTGCGGCAATGCCCTAAAGCTGCTTGTCCAAAACTACAGCTACATGCTGAACTCCACAGTCTCGCCCAATGCGGAGGTGGCCTTCAAGTGTCTGATCGAAGAGAAGGCCACCATCGTGATCACAGTGCGTAGCAGCTTCATGTACTACGAGTCGCTATACGAGATGGTCTCCCACGAGCTTAAGAACTGGCGCCGCCAGCAGGCTTTTGCCGGAAACGGGGCTCCGTTCAATGAGGGAGCTCTCGACGATATTCAGCGCTGCTTCGAGATGCTGGAGACATTTGTTGCTCACCTACTGGCCGCCATTAAGGAGTTAATGCGCGTCCGCCTGGTCAGCGAGGAGCCGGAGCTGACACACCTCCATGAACAGATCCAGCTCTCGCAGGAGAATCTGGTCTACTCTGCTTTCATTGTGGACAAGCAGCCGACACAGGTGATAAAGAAACACACACGCTTTGCAGCCTCAGTGCGCTGGCTCATTGGATCCACACTGGGCATCCACAACAATCCACCCACTGTTCAGTGCATCATCATGTCAGGTTTGTATTTCAAAGCTTCTGCTCCTCTGGATACCACGGTTCTAATCTGGTCCTGTTTTCCCTTCAGAAAAACAAGCGCGTACGTTCGTAACCCGCGGCGCCCAATTGGACAACAGCTTGGCCGGACAGTCCTCCGGCGAAATACAGAACTGCTCCAGTACAATGGAATACCAGCAGAACAACCACGTGTTTTCGGCCATCTTCAGTAACATGCAACTGATGAGCATCAAGCGGCCTGAGAAGAAGGGCAATGAGAGCGTTATGGACGAAAAGTTCGCCCTTTTATTTTATGCCACCACCACGGTGAACAATAGTCATCAGATCCGCGTTTGGACACTGTCCCTGCCCGTCGTGGTGATCGTGCACGTGAACCAGGAGCCCCAGTCGTGGGCCACCATCACCTGGGACAATGCATTTGCGGAGATGGTCCGTGATCCCTTTGTGACCACCGATCGCGTCAGCTGGGCACAGCTCTCTGTGGCGCTGAACACCAAATTTGCATCGAGCACACAGCGCTCCCTGACCCCCGACAACCTGGACTTAATTTGTAAGTTCTAATGTATGTCTTACCTGAAGGATTCTAATCTGTTTTAATTCTGTTTAAAGACGAGAAGCTCCAGCGGAAGGAATATATAACGTGGAACCAGTTCTGCAAGGAGCCCATGCCAGGTCGCTCCTTCACCTTCTGGGAGTGGTTCTCTGCCATTATGAAACTCACCAAAGAGCACATGTTGAACATGTGGAAGGCCGGCTGCATCATGGGCTTCATCAACAAGGCCAAGGCGGAAGATGATCTGAAGCGCTCTCCCGTTGGCACTTTTCTGATCCGCTTCTCCGACAGCGAGCTTGGTGCTTAAAACCAGCTTTCTTGACGCTAAAATTCTTAACCTATATTATATACCGCAGGAGGGGTCACCATTGCCTATGTCAACGAAAAGAGATTGGTCACCATGCTGGCCCCCTGGACTGCCCACGACTTTCAGGTGCTTAACCTGGCGGACCGCATTCGTGATCTTAATTTCTTGCGTTGGGTGTACCCCGTCGACCGCAGTGCTCAATGCTCAATTCTAGATAGAGACACCGCCTTTGGCGAATTCTTTTCAAAGCGTCAGGGTAAGCATTCCATCGGGCATTATATGTTCCAAAAACACTTCCTAATTTGAACCCAATTCCCGATATGCAGAACTCTCGTCTGGCTACAAGAAGACCTTCCTGCATGTCCAGGTTTATAACGGCAACAGCGACAATGCGTCCACCAGCGGAACACCGCCTCACGTGCCGACGCATGATGGCATGCAGATAGGAAAGTAAGTTTCGCATGTCCGGGCTCATTTTACTTCAAATCCAGTATGTTTAATTCAGCCGATGATGATCCGCCTTCACCTATTTCCGCTTATTTCCTTTACTTTGCGTTGTTTTGCTTATGATTTTGACAAAAAGTAAACAAAAGTTTAACCAGATTGTCGAAAACGGAACACGAAAAACGTTTGTTGTGCCTGAGACTAACCCAAAATGTAGGCTAATAAAACTAGTAAAATTTTGTTGGAAACTCTGGACGAGAGGAGAGCGAGATCTTCGCGATCTCTACTTATTTCTAGTCGAACAGAAAACTTATCACCTGTGTGCTCTCTGTTTATTTTCATTTATCGTGTCCACCTTCCTCTGCGACTTGTTGGTCATTTTTGGGTGATGGTTCAGTATTGAGGAATCAGATTCCGATGGCAGCGAATACGCAGGGGAGATTGCAAGGTTCCTGCAAGAGGCCAATCCCAACGATCCTGCAGTGAGCGCGATCAATGATACCATAATGATGTGCTCCCCGAGGCACATAACGATGAGCTCCTAAGGAGCAGCAGAGCATACAGACTGTTGATTCGGTTCGGTCACTTACCGAAAGGTATAACAACAATTTAATTATGTTCGCATCTCAAAATCATTCAAATCCGACTACGTTCCCTCCGTTCGCGGTCCATCCATTCGCTCGTTGCACAGCAGCCGCCGCCGCCGTAACAGTCGTAACTGCGCTCTCTCATCCGCCTTCCCGATGGTCATCTTTCATATCCATTTCCATCAGCAGGCCATATCCCGGGTCATCATCAGTTTCAGTTTCAGTTTCAGTTGGGTTCTCCTTCAATCAGGTTACTAACTCTAGTCTAGACGGTTGCCCTATAACACCAATCACAATATTATTAGTTTGCATCAAGTGGGTCTTTTGTTATTTTGTGTTACAGTTATTGTCTTGTTCAAAGTATTGCCATCTTTATAAACTTTTCAGCTTCAAGAAGATTTATGTATGAATAAATCAAAATCAATCAAAATTTCGCAAACTCTAAAATTGTATCTCTCTAACCGCTTACCCTTTTCCTCTTCTATTTATTTCGCTTCGAACGCAGCTTACAGAATAGCACCATCATGCACCTGTAAATCTGATCCTAAGCTGAATCTAGATCTCAGCTAGCCAAGCAACCGAATTAGACAAAACGAGAAAAGAGAAAATCGAATTACATATTTAAACTCTTGCTTAAAAGTCGCGCAACAATTACCAGATTAGAGTTATTAATATTTGTGCATGGCCTCTTTGGGGCTCGTTTGTTCGCATGTTCGTTGCCGTTGTACCTTTCGTTTTAATTGTGATTTCTCTCCCGATTTGATGTTAGTGTTGTTGCAAAATATATATTAAAATTATTTAATGTTAAGGGAACCGAACCGGTCACTGCAGCTGGCTTTCATTAAAGGCTTTGCGTCATATTAAGCCAAAACAACACAAAAAACAACCTTCATTTCTCTTTGCATTTCCCTGGCATTTCTCATTTCTCTCCTCTCTATGATCCTTCTCCCCCTCCACCTACCTCTTGAACTCACCTCCTGCATGAGTTTGGCTTTTTTTTCGATTATTATTTATTAATCCATTTTCTTTTTACATTTTACCCCCCGTTTATTCCATGTTCCAGTGGCGACTTTGGGATAGCGGACTTCGATTCAATGACGAAACGAAATCGTATAAGCGCCCGAAGAACACCTTCTTGGCACCGCTATCATGGAAGTGGATCGTAAACAGCGATTGAAACACACCGCATTTTGTGCTATTCGAAATTATTATTTTATGTTATCTAGATGTAATTATTAGAAATAGGAATGCATCGTAGAGGCAGGTTTTGTTTGGTATGTATTTTAACTGTATGTGGATTAACAACAATCAATAACACTAATTGTGTACATTGTGTTAGTGTTTTAAATGTAATTTCAAACGCTATATTAAGTGTGCTGCAATTTTGAAAACTTGAGTGGGAAATACCTAAAGAACTATTCTTGTCAAATTGGCCAATAAAATAATTGATTTTAAAAACTAATAAGAACGAGCTGTTTATTTTTTTTTGGATGGTTACACGCCTTGAAGTTAGTTCTCAAGAAAATATGGATATATCGATTTTGTTTAGATATACGACTTAAAATTCGATATATAAATTGTTACATCGATTTATTGAAACAATATATTTAAATAATGAGGCAAATACATTAAATGAATTACATTAAATGAGATACTTTTCGATATTTAAAATTAGAATATGCTAACATTTATAATATTTTCCAGAATTTTGGACGTGATATTTTTGAAGAATTTTTCCTATCGCTGGCCATTTCTAGTTCTTATTGGCACAGCACTTGTCCTTGGGTCCGTTCTTGCACGAGCACTGGCACTGCTGGCTGCAGGCGCAGTTGTCGCCGCACTTGGTGGCCGAGCACTGGCAGTCTGCGGAGTTAATTATGCCCATAAAGGAGCTGTCTTTTGGTGAATTTTCGTTTCTATACTCACTGGTTCCACAAGCCTTGCAACCCATCTTGTTTTGGTATAATATTTTCTGTGAAGATTTTAAGCTTAACTGAACTTTGCTGCTAGCAAGCGCTGTTTTATGATGGCAGCTATGGGGGACCAGCCCTCTTATAGTATTCCAAAGCTGCTTTGCACACCACCAAGCGGGAATAAATCGAACGCGTTTTTTATTCTCTTATCAGGGCGTGCGCAATTTTTTGCTTTATCAGAGGAGAGGGAAACTCAATGATTTTGCGCACGCCAGCCGCGCGCAACTGCACACGGCTTTCTTATCTAATCAGCATAGCCAGCACGACCCATAGTTTTAATGGATTGAAAACGGGTATAAAGAGGCCAGACTCTCAGCCCAGAAGTCATTACAAAAGTCTTACAGCTTTACCAATAGTTTTGTTTCGAGAAAAACCAACCACAACAGCCACCAAAGATGCCTTGCAAGGGATGCGGAAATAGTAAGTAAAAAGGAAATTTGTAAAATAAAATATAATGCTAATGCAAAGCATCCATTTTTCACAGACTGCCAGTGTCAGGCCGGCAAATGCGGCGGAAACTGCGCCGGAAATAGCCAATGTCAATGTGCCGCCAAGACTGGAGGAGCCAAGTGCTGCCAAGCCAAGTGATTGCTGTCAACGAGACATACCTAATTTAAATAATTATTAGTTGTTAATAGTTGCTACCTAATTGCCTACGACTGAAGCTCAATAAATACCTTATAATGTAATATATAAAGCTATAATATTTTTTATTGAAAAAATGCCAATGAAGGTAGTGGGTTAACTCGGTGCAAAATGTGCCACTTTTCCAAAAATTGTTGTGGCGAAACGGCTGAAGGTAGTTTATTCAATTAAATGCCATATAACAACATAACAATTAAACCATTTTGTATTAATTATTGTATTGATAAATATTTAGATGTATTGTAGTAAAAAGGAATCTACCAAGTGTTTTCTCAAAAAATTGTTGGTTTTCGGTGTGCATTCTAACTGTCCACAGAAACATCCGATATCAAAAAAATACATTGCATTCGTTCCAGGATAAATATTCCGGGGTACTCACGTAGCGTTTTTATTTTAATAATTTTTTCTTGAAATTGTTTTCAAATCGTAAGTCAAAATATCGATTTTTGACCAAAAAATTAGGTTATTTTCTTAAAAAAAAATATAATAAATTCAAAAATGAAAAATGCCGACGTAAGCACCTGAAGTTAAAGAAGTTATATACCAAATTTCAAAACGATTCGTCCAGTAGATTTTGAGTTATAGTGTAAACCGACCTTTAAAATGGCACTTTTCAGGAGAGCGCTGTAAACTTTTAGAGACTCATACATTCCACTCATACTCATAATACCACAGAACCGCCGTTAAATGTTAAATTTTTTAATTGGTAGATAAATTCTTTAATAAATAATTTAATTATCTAAAGAACAATCCTAAAGTAGCTATATAATTTGTACAAATATTTAAACCTTAAAAATACCTACAGGCAAGCATGTGAAACTTGTAGTTTCATGCCCCACTTTGGTCATAAGTTTATAATCTTTGAGGTTTATTTAATTTGCAGCGGAGGGGCAAAACAGTTTGCTGCCATTTGTGTGCCGCATTTAGCCAAGTGCAGTGGTTGGTGGCTTGTGCAGGTGCGTTAGGTTAAGGGCCATCAGCAGTCAGAAGGGCACTCGAGTCGCCGCAGTCTTTAAATGTGCAACTTGAAGGGGCTGTGTGGGTTGTGTGGGCTGTGTGAGCGGAGAATGCATGTCTGAGTGCCGTGTCCTTGCCTTACAGTCCTTCAGGATGCGTGCCTTAAACAGGCCGACAGGATGACAGGCAGCAGGTGGATAAGGATCTGGCGGACAGACAGGCAAGAAGGAGGCACTGTGTGGCAACTGTCAATTCTCGCCAACCGAAAGATGCATTAAGCGCGCTAATTGCAGTTGACAATCCCATTTTGGAAGGCATCCAGTTCAGAGATTGGCGGATCCTGTTCCCTTTCCTGTAGCACATCAAGGCCGATGTTGCCTCCATCTATTTTTGTGCTGCCTCGAGCTGGTTTCGAGCTTAGCGCTTTGGCCGAAATTTCAATTTCAGCTCTTTTAATGACGTTAAGCGGCGGAAATGGAATCGCGCGCCGCCCGGTAACTGCTTTTTGCGCCAAGTCATCAAAGTTAATTCGCATGGGTGGAAGTTCGAGCTGGAACTCAAATGTTTTTACAGCCATTTCCTGTTTTGGGGCAGGCAGTCAAAATGCCAGACATCCATCCAGCTCGTCCGTGGCTCGTTTTGCTCTATTTGTTTTGTTCCGCTTCTGGCGGAAATCCGTGTCACACCATTTGCCAGATTTGTGACTGATAAAGTGACACGTTCGCGCTGTAAGTTGCTCTTGAATACCGTCAATTGCAGGAGAGCAAGAGTGGGTCACGCGATGAGGTTGCATCTCGGCCTTAGCCCTCTTTCAGGAATCCTTACCTTTGGGGTTTCCCTGCCTTACAAGGATCCATACCATTGGGCTTTCTTGTGGCAATATTTTGTTGTGGAAAAAACTTGTAGGAAATGTTTGCTCTTGAATTTGAAAGTCTTTAAACTCACGGTTTTTCCTCTGTTCTGCGGGTCAGCAAATTCTCTGCCCGGCTTCTAAAAACTTCTTTCAGTTTCTTACACCCACAACTGCAATGTCGTCATAATCTAAACCAATTTGTATTATATGAAGCCATAATCCATTACCAGCTGTCCAATTCATTACGAACATGGCCATATTAAGACTTCCTTGGGGCCACGGGGCGCATACGCGATTTAAGACGCACATGCGGCGCATGGGGCGTATACGCGACTTCATTTTCGGCCATTTTGCGCGGCGTTCACGGAGCGCAAACGCAAACAGTTAATTACGTCATTAAGTTTTCATGTCGCAGGGCAGGGAAACGGAGCAAAGCGGAAACAGCTGCAATGCGGGCACTTCGTGAGGACTTTGTCGCCAGCCGAAAAGGAGAGCCATGCAAAAAAAGGACGACAACGACGACTACGAGAACGTTGAGGCGCCAGCGCATCACTTATGCATAAGAACATTTTAACTTTTCGTTGGCCACTTTGGACCTTGGCTGGGATAACAGCTAAGGGATGCGGGATACGGGATAAGGGATACTGTGGATCCGTGTTTATCTTTGCGTGTGAATCTTGCCTCCTGGCAGTGTAAAGTTGTTCTACGGCGAAATCAAATTATCCCCACAATGGCACACACACACACACACACACACAAGTGGCGAGAAGTTTTTGGCAGGCGGCAACGAAACATAAATTAATGAAATGCACAAAAACTGTATACAGACACCCTACCATCTGGGTGTGTGTGTGCAAATATTCTTAATAATTTATTGCAATTTGTTTGCTAAGCGCTTCGAAAACTTCCCTGAACTTTTCGGCATAAATTAACAGATTAGTCGGCAGCCGTCGCGCCGAGCGGCAGACACCACAATGCGGGTCCGTCCGGATGCCCAGGTGTTACTGTGCCGAAAAAATAAACCCAAACAGACTGTAGTCCCAGACATATCCTGCTCCTGCTGCTGCCCAGCTGTTTTCGGTTGCCCTGCGTTAATTTCCATCTCCCAACGAGCTGTGAAAACTTTCAGCCCGCACGCACCGAGGCCCGCTTGTGGCCGAAACGCTGTGGCTAACACTATAAATCTTGGCCAATTTGTAAATCTCTCCTCTAGCCGCCCTTTAGGACACTCGGTTTGGGGTTAAATCTATTGGGAGGTCCAAGCGCCTACGTTTCACACATTTGCCTCCATAAAATATTCATTTTTAATTTGTTTTATTTATCGTGCAGTTTTCTAGTTAAATTCTTAAACTTGACTTTCTTAAAGTTTTCATTATTTATGTTAAGCATAATGAAACTAGCATGTATTTAATGAAAGGAAAATAAATGTACAAATGCAGTTCAGGGCTTAGGTTACCCACAAATTATAGCAGATATTTTATAGAAGTTTCTAATGTTTTTTTTAGGGAAATATAATTTTAAACAATTTTCGTGCAGAAAATTAAAACTGTCAGCAGCGACATTGATTTCATTTTGCGGCGGCGGCACATCACACATCCAAGTGAAACGGTCCCAGGTGCGTAATCAGCCACGTCCACCGACCAACACCTTCTTCCAGGTGGAAGTGGGGTGGCCTTGGGACCGAATGTCTGCCCGGGCGCTTATCAATCGCTCTGACGGCACTCTTCGCACCGAGCTCATTTTGCTCTCGTTTCGTTTTCAGTTTTCGATTTGTCGCTGATTTCCCCAAGCACTCTGAGGCCGTGACACACGGGTCGGGAGAAGCGTGTAAATGTGTCACCTCGTGATTGCCATAACTAAGGCCAAGGAATTGCTTCCTGTGTCGGGTTGGCCGGGCAAACCCATTAGGGCAGCACATCCTGCGGTTGCAGGAAGTCGAGCGGGCGGTCGGGCGGTACAGGACTCCTGGCTGTGGGAGCTACTACGGCCGCCCTTTGTTGACAGCAATTTCATATGCACGAATGCACCATTAGACGATGTGTCACACATTGCAAAGACAAAGGCGAGCCAGCCAGCCCTGGCCGTCTCCTCTGCCTGTCAGTTGAGCAAACAAACAAAATTACAGTTGTGCGTCCTTGTCGACCATTAGATTTATTATAAAACTTTAATGCAACTCTCCCTCCCTCTGGATAGTAATGAGTTTGGCTCGGGTGTATGTGTGTGTTAATGCTGTAATGTTGTTAATTAAGTGAACATGGCAACCGCAATGACCTGGCAGCTGTCCAGCTTGTATCCTGCCAACCAGGACCTGAACCCGGAACCCCCCGCTCTCCGCCTGTCACTTGCAACCGGAGAATTGCTTCGGGTCAGGGAAAAATGCAGAAATGTCAGCGGCGATTGCAAAGCATTTCAGAAAGCCAGGATGCCAGGATGCCAGGATTCCAGGATGCCAGGATGGCAGGATGCTAGGATTCCAGGTCCTTTTCCATCATGCCGGAGCATTGGGTTCCGTCCGTGCCTCATTAGCTGGCCGTGCACGTGCACAAATCAATTTGGCTCTGTCCGCACCCCCTTCTGCTGCAACCAAGCTAAAAACAATCATACGACGCGTTGTCCAAACGGCAATCAAAGTCAACTGCTTTCGCTGGACGAGAAAATCTCACACTGAAATAAAAGCCATGTCATGGCATCAATAGAGCAGGATGCAGGGTAGATGTCATAAGAATATTAATTATTATAATTGGGTAACAATTGGGCAATATGACAATTAGGTTGGTATTAAAAATTTATTATATAATTTAAAAAAAGGATTCCTTTATTTCGGATAATTACCATTTGCAAACTGCTAAAACCCGTTGGGAATTTTAAACAAATTTTGTACGAAATAATGCGTAAGTAAAGTTTCTTTTTCTAACTAAGAGCGGACAATATTGATGCCAAGGGTGCTTTAAAAACTACCAAGTCTGAAGTCTAGTACTTCGATTGACATTTAAAAGTTAGCAAAAACACTGAAATAATATGTTAAAGGTACCCAAAAACTTAAAGAAAACATGGTAACTATCCTCACAAAGTTTCTTTAATAAATCTAAGAAAATCATTATACATTTTCTGACAAAATATTCCAGTACCTATGGTACATGTATATATTATTTGTTTCAAGTGCATTCCACATTCAAACCACGAGCATGTCGTGAAATGTTTTAATAAGCAATGGCTTAGGAGGAGCCAGCACGATGCCATAT